GCATCCCATCAGATACGGCTGTGCCCAGTGTTGGTTCCTCAGAGAGTTGTTCAGTTTGCAGCAGTTTGTTGACTTTCCGTTATTTCTGTTGTTGAAAACCAGCTTCTGTCTGGTGGTCTAACAAGGGACGGGGATTGCCTCGCTTCTCTCGTATCTGTTGAGACTCGCTTTATAACCAAGTATATGGTCACTTTTGGATAATGTTCTGTGAGGTGCTGAGGAGAAAGGCACACCAGTTGCTTCTTAGGTCCATTTGCTTGGAAACTCTTTTTCCCAAACATTTACTCTGAGATAATATCTGCATTTGGTGTTGAGGTGTTGTTTCTTGTGTGCAGTAAAAGAATGAATCATGTTTTCATATCCATTCTGTTAGTCTTGTCTTTTTATTGAGGAATTGAGTCTACTGACATTGAGAGATATTAATGACGAGTGATTGTTAATCCCTGTTATTTTGTTAGTGGTGCTGTGCGTGTGTGTGTGTGTGTGTGTGTGTGTGTGTGTGTGTGTGTGTGCATGTGCATGCACGTGTGCATGCATGTGTGTTTCCTTTCTTTGGGTTATGCTGGTGTGAAGTTATTTACTGCCTGTGTTTTAGTGGGTGTAGTTAACCTCCTTAGGTTGGAGTTTTCCTTCTAGTACTTTTTGTAGGGCTGGATTTGTGGGTAGATATTGTGAAATTTGAATTTGTCATGGAATATCTTGTTTTCTCCATCTATGGAGATGGGAACTTCTGCTGGGTACAGGAGTCTGGGCTGGGTTTTGTGGTCTTTTAGAGTCTGCAGCACATTAGTCCGGGCTCCTCTGGTTTTTAGAGTCTCCCTTGAGAAGTGGGGTGTAATTCTAACTGATCTTCCGTGATATATTAGTTACTTGGCCTTTTTCCTTTGCAGCTTTTAATATTCTTTGTTCTGTATGTTTAGTGTTTTGATTATTGTGTGACATGAGGACTTTTTATTCTGGCCCAATCTATTTGGTGTTCTGTAAACTTCTTGTGCCTTTATAGGCATGTCTTTCTTTAGGTTAGGAAAAGTTTTCTTCTATGATTTTGTTGAGTATATTTTCTGGGCCTTTGAGTTGGGATACTTTTCATAGTATCCCCAATTTCCTGGATGTTTTATGTTAGGAATTTTTTTAGGTTTAACATTTTCTTTGATGGATGAGTCTATTTTCTCTATCGTATCTTCAACACTGAGATTCTCTCTTCCCTCTCTTGTTTTCTGTTGGTGAGGCTTGTGTCTACAGTTCCTGTTCACTTACCCAGATTTTCCATTTCCAGAATTCCCTCAGTCTGTGTTTTCTTTATTGCTCCTATTTCCATTGTCAGGTCTTGAACAGTTTCCTTCACCTGTTTGTTTTTTTCTTGGTTTCTTAGCATTCTTTAAGGCATTTATTGATTTCCTCCAATTTTTGGTTTGTTTTTTCCTACATTTCTTTAAGGGAGTTCTCCATTTCCTCTTTAAGGACCTTTAGCATCTCCATAAAGTTGTCTTTAAGATCATTTTCTTTTTCTTCAGCTGCATTGGAATGTTTGGGTCTCGCTGTCATGGGATAGCTGGTGTCTGGTAGTGCCATACATATGTCCCTTTCTGTTATTGTGTTCTCACACTGGGGTTTAGGCATCTGGGATCATTTGGAATGATTATAGGTCTAGGTATTGATTGATTGTTTGTCTTTGTTGGGTAGGTGTTTTGTTCCTTGATTACTGTTTTCTCTTTGGTCATCTGGCCTAAAATGGCAAGCAGTTCTGGTGATTAGAGAGTCTTCAGGTGCAGTAGAGTGTCTCCACTGGGGATTTTTGTGTCCTATAAGACCTCTGGGGTTTTGGATGCCAACTTTGCCTCTCTAGTTCCAAGTACCTGTGTGGCCTCTGGGGGTCTGGGTACCTGCTTTGTCTCTGGGATTTCTAGTAAGGCAGGGCCTCAAGTACAGTAGAAGTCTGTGCCAAAGTTGTGGACTGGACAGGAAGCTGATGGGAGGGAGTGCAGTTGGAGGCTGTTGCCACCTTTAGGGAGTGTTGGCTGGCAGTGGGCAGGGTTTTACCTTGGGTCCTGAGAGCCAGCCTGGCCTCAGGTAAAGCAGAAGTTTTCTGTCAAGGTTGTGGGCTGGGATATGGAATGGGAGTTGGGGTGGGGGTGGAGTGCAGTCTGGGGCAGGTGGGTGGGCTTTCAGAAGTGTTAGCAGGTGGTGTGTGGAGTGTTACCTTGGGTACCTAGCACCAGCCTGGCCTCTGGTAACATAGTTGTAGTTGTGGGCTGGAAGATGGATCCCAGGAGAAGTTGTGCCTTAGGGTGATGTTGGGTGGAGTTTAAGGAATGTTAGCAAGCAGGACCATGACAACTCTTTTATTATTATTATTATTATTATTATTATTATTATTATTATTATTATTATATTTTTTGTTTTTCAAGACAGGGTTTCTTTGTGTAGCTTTGGAGCTTGTCTTGGTACTCATTATGTAGACCAGGCTGGCCTGGAACTCTTAGAGATCCTCCTGCCTCTGCCTCTCGAATGTTAGGATTAAAGGTGTGCACCACCAACACCCGGCTCATGGCAACTCTTACAAAGGAAAGTATTTAATGGAGGTTGGGTTACAGTTTGAGAGGTTTAATCCATTATTGTTATAGTGGGAAGCATGGCAGTGTGCAGGCAGACATGCTGCAGGAGAAGGAACTGACACTTCTACATCTACAGCAGGACAAGAGACGGTGGTGCCACACGGGGCACAGCCTGAGCATCTGAGACCATAGAGCCTCCCCCACAGTGACACACCTCCTAACAGTGCCACTCCCTATGCGTCAATCATTCAAACACATGAGTCTATGGGGCCATCCCTATTCAAACCACCACAATATTCCAGAGAAAAAAGAGAAAGAAAGGAAATGTTTTCTCTATGTACCTCATCATCGTCATTGAACATGCAAGCCACATGGAAGTGAGCTTCTGTCCTGTCCAACCTTATACCAAAAGACAAAGAGTTGGATACCTGAATGCAAAGCACAAGACTCTCAGAACACAGAAATGAGATGTTTCTAACTTACCATTACACACCAAGTGCCCAATCTACAAAAGAAAAACAAATTGAATTTTAACTTTGTAAAAATTAAAAACTTGGGCAAAAGACACCATCAATAAAATGACTAGACAAGCCATGGTCTGGAAGTAAGCATTTGTAAGCCCTCCAGACAAAGACTCTGTTTCAGAGAAGACCCTGAGAACCCCCTAGTGAGAAGTCAGCCCAATTTAACAATGAGCCAAAAGCTTGAGCAAGCATTTCACCAAGGAGAATGGAAAGTGGCAGATCAGCACACGCAAAGACGTTTGGTGTAATCAGCTGTTAGGGAAATGCAAATTAAAACCATTAAGAGGTGAAGTGCCATTGCACACCTTAGAACGACCTAGATGAAAACAAAGATTACCAGGTCCTGGAAAGAGTGTGGAGCAACCAGCGTCCTCCCAAGCCATGGACAGCAATGAAAAATGGTGCGGTGCAATCCTTTCGGAGAACAGTCTTGGAGTTTCTTGCAAAGTCAAATTACCATGTGTTAGGATAAATCTTTCCAACAAAAGCCACCGAGCCCCACTGCCACATGTGCGCTTTATGACAGCCACCCACCCAAGTTAAGGCCCAAATTAATACACAGAAACTTGTATTAGGTTCAAATGCTGCTTGGCCAATGACTAGTATTTTCATCTGTTATCTCAGTCTTAATTATCATAAATCTATATATTTTGTAAGACTTATCTTATCGGACGCCTTCCATTGGCATCCCTCCTTGCCGGTGGATCACATCCCGCTGCTGGAAGAAGAGCAGAGGGGAAAAGGGACACTTCCTGTTTCTCCTTGATTAAATATGAGTCTCCTTGCTAAATCACTTCCTGCCTGGATCAGCACTTCTCTACTACATTTCCCAGAATCCTTTTTTACTCCTAGTTCCGTCTAATTTGCTGCCTCATTGGCCAAACAGAACTTTATTCAACAATCAATAAGATAAACATACACAGAAGTACATTCCCCATTAACTTATCTTTTATAATAACTAAGAGAACTATAACCATAACTATCTGTCTTCAACTCTATCAAAGACCACAGAAGGATAATATATAAACTCTAGAATTGACAGGGACATCTCACTACCTGGACAGTCACCCAAAGTTCCTCTGTAATGTTGGGGCATCCATCTTCAGCCCATAGGCCACAGAGTGTCTGGCACACTTCTCCATTTTAACAGGAACCCTTCAGTACTGTCTTGTTTTGTAAGTTCAGCAGTCACTTTCTTGTGGGTCCTGTATATCCAGTTTATACAGCAACAAACAGTCCAGGCAAGAGCAGTTTCTTGCCCAAATGGCTAATCTTGCCATGTTGAAAGCAAACTCCAGGACAAGTTTCTTCGATGCCCATCTTCCTTTCTGACGTAATTGGTGTGCCAGGAGCAGTTGTGTCTCACTGCCAAGAAAAATCCTAAACCGTTTAAATGCCATATTTCTGTAGATCTTTGAAAGGTTTGAAGAATACCTATCCCGTCTAAGTTTCTGCCAAAGAGAACTTTATTCAACAATCAATAAGATCAACATACACAAAAACCATGTGACCAAGAAGTTTGATTACTGAGCATCAACTTAGACGAAGGGAAGCTTCCATTCACAGTAGAAGCAGCGCATAGCACTTAAAGCAGTCTACCCATGTTCATAACATTCTACAACAATACACCCAGGCGAAAGAATATAACTCATAAAAAAAATAAATGGATGAATCTCAAAGGCCTCTGCTGATTGGAAGGTGATTTCCAGGCTCTGTGCTGTGGGATTCCGTGTGAGTGGTGTTCTCACAGACGAAGCCGTAGGACAGAGGGATGGTGGGTGGCTGCAAGCAGATAGACGTGGGTGAACGTGTCTATAAAGGGGGCAACACTGATGTGCTTTTGGGAGCCGATGGATGGGATCTGTATTCCAGTTGTCATCAGTAGGTACATATGTTTCGGTTAAAAGAATGAGATGCCATGTAGTTTTCATGCTACAAATTTATTTTAAAGTTTGATTGTAAGAAAAATTGATTGTTGACTGCTGTCACATCTTCCAACACCCAAGAATATAACAGTAAGCTTTTATCCTCTGTTCTGTTTATATGCCTGTTTTAGTTTCTTTCCGTTGCTGTGATAAAACACCTTTTCAAGGCAACTGAGAGAATTTTATTTAGGTTTATAGTTGCAGAGGCATAGGTCTGTCATGTCGAGGAGGCACAGCAAGGAGCAGCAGGCATGGGGGCAGGGGCGGGAAGCTGAGGGCTCACACCAGGCCTGTAACAGAGAGAGCACACTGGAAGTAGACAAGGCTTGCCCCCAGTGATGTAATCCCCCCTCCCCCTCCTGGGGACTTCCACTCCTCCCCAGACAGTGTCACCAGCCAGGGCCAGTTATTCACAGGGACACACGGGAATAAAACATTTCCAAAGTTGTACTCTTGAGTTTTTGCCTCCTGTGTTGCCTGATATTTGGGATTTGTTGCCACTCAGTGTTTCAGCACGTGGCTGTTTAGGACTAAAGAAGCTGAGATCCTTGATAACTAAGACGTTAATGTAGACTAGAGCAAGTGTGGACTTCGTTGCAGGCAAAACTGATTTCAAAGCCTGCTTCTGCTAGCTGTTCTCGGCTTGTCCATCTGTCATCTCTCCAGCACTGCAGACGGGTCTCACCGAATAGAGAGAAGCATGACCGACCTGAGAGGCGGCCTCACATGTCTCTGACTCCTGGGATTGTTGTGTCAAGAGTGGATGGTATCGTGACTACCTGGCTAAGTGCTCATACTTACAGGCCTAATGGCTGCGCAGAGTTTTCAGTGAACCCAAGGTTATTACTAGTCTTCTGTTCGTGGAGATAATATTTAAATGGCCCGAGATGAAATGTTTGTTTTAAATGATCATACATATGTGATTAAGACAGAAGGTAGGTGTGACTGGAAGGTATTCAAGATTCTGTCTAACTCACACACGACTGAATTCCAACTTACTCCCACATAAAACAAACTTTTACATCTCGAGCCTAGCCTGAGAGCTTTATAGATCTTTTAAAAGATTAGCTTTTAAGACTTACTCAGAAGCCAGTGTTTGTAAAAAAAGTCCCCCTCAGGGGCAGGGCAGGGCAGGGCAGGGGGAATAAAGTTTTATTTTATTTTATTTTATTTTGTTTTTTAACTTGGAAAACATCTTCTTCCTGGGCACAACACACATTGCTATAATTCGCATTTGCCACCAAATTTGTACACTGTGGTCATCTTTATTTTTGAAAGGTTTCAGGTTTGTGTGAATAAATGCCATTCAATGGTAGTGAAAATTTACTCTTTTCAAGCTTACAGTCCCTTTATACAGATGCAAATTCTGCTTTTGAAAATTTCTGGAAAGTGTGTATTATAGAATGGATCATGAAATAAGCTTGAAAATGGGGACGGACAACATTCCTGCCAGAAAGAATTTGAGTTTGAAGTGTGGAGCAACTAGTGCAGAGTACGACTTCCATCTAGGTTTTGTTACTTTCTGAATAGGAATTGCTTTCCTCCGTCCCCCTCCTGAAACCATCTCTCAGATCCCTCCATTTCCCCGGTACCCAGTGAGCAAGCGGCAAAAGAAGCAAGGCTTGCTCGCAGCCCCATGTCCCCCCCTACCGGACCCTGGGGGTTCTGTTGATTCAAACCAGTCACGCATTGCTTCCTACCCTTTGTCTTCTCAATGCCCATCCTTGACTCTTGATCTCAACGCTGTTTGGGTGTTTCTGGTTGGGGATTGTGCTCCGCTACAGGCCCAAGCTTTCACTGACTTTCAACAGCTGCGGCATGTCTAAACTGCATTATCTTGAAAGTGTTGGCTCTAGGAAGAGTTGACAAAGGAGCCAGATGACTAAAACAAAACATTTCAAAGGGTTCCTATGGATACGCCCCGCCACCAGGAAGCACACCCTGGACGTGGCTGACTCACTAAGCTGCCGACTGCTGCAGCCTCTTCTGCAAGCCGGCTCACTTGAGCACACTGCAATGCGGGCCTCACTCAGAAGAGTCAGAGGCCTGCAATCACATCACTAAAGGTGTGCCTTTCTTGCCTATAAAATCCATAGTTAAATAGGTTATTGTGTTTCAAGTGATTTATTACAGTCTTTAGAGATAAAATATGAATATTGAGCAAGGGTTGTGCAAACCAAAGTGGGAAATAGTTTGCTTTATGCAGAAGAGTAATCAAGAAAGAATGAGTGTGCATTCCGTCAGGGTGAAGCCTCAGAGTAGATTGAAAAGACTTCCTTTACTGCAGGTTAAACCTGCACAGAGCCAGATTGGGGCGGTAGATAGCAAGGTGGTACCTCGTTCCTTTGCATCTGATTTTATGAACCTCCGTGCGTCCCTGTGACTTTCCTCTCTATGTATTCCAGTTTTACTTTTAATATACTCGCTTTGAGTCAGGACGAAAGTGTAAACAGTGCTGGATTCCCCTGACTTACTTACTGGTGACTGTGAGCCTGTAAGGGAGTCAGACATCCTGGACGCAAGTCCAGCTTTTTGTCATTAAAGATTTAAAAGGAAATGCTTTAAATCTCCATACACATCATGGCTTTTCTTTCTAGGCGATTTGCCTGTAGCTGGCCTTTTTTTTTTTTTTTTTTTTTTTTTTTTTTTTTTTTTTTTTTTTTGTCGGGTGTTTTGAGACAGGGTTTCTCTGTGTAGCTTTGGAGGCTGTCCTGGAACTTGGTCTGTAGACCAGGCTGGCTTGGAACTCACAGAGATCCGCCTGCCTCTGCCTCCCTAGTGCTGGGATTAAAGGTTTGTGCCACCAATTCCCAGCAGAGTTGGTCCTTTCTATTAGCTCTTTCTGTGTAATTTTTTAATGAATTTTTGCCTATAACACACATGGGAAACATGTGTCTTACTATGTCATTAGCTGTTCAGTTTTGTGTACAGAGCAGAGACACAAAGTTTTTGTGTTGTCGTATATGAATACATGTATGTCTTCCGTGTTCTTTAATACCCCAAGAACAAAAAGATTAACTTCTAGTCAGAAAGCTACATGGACAAGCCAGTATGGAACGGTTTGCCCTGTACTAACATGTCAAGACTGAGTGTGCTCCCCGCCAGAAGGCTGGACTAAATGAGATCATGCATACATACCTTCGTACCTGTATTTCAGTGCTTTCAGCTTCTGTTTATAAATAAGCACTTTTTTGTAATGTGGAGAAAATGGCAGCAGAGTAGTGAGGTATATATTAAATTACAGCTGATTTTAAGTTCACTAGAGTTTTCATTTTACCATAACTTACCTCTGAGAGTAAAGCAGTTTGGAGAAGTTTGGTCGGAAAATTCACCCATATATTACAGCATGGTATTTCTTTGTCTGATGAGGAAATCCAACAACCAGTAATGTTTCATCTTAGCCTCTTGCTCACACTCCCGATCTCATAGAGGCCATCAGGTGACTCATCTTGAAGGCAGATGGACTTGTGAAGAAGATACAAGCTTAAGCTATGTCTGCATCGTCAACAGGACTTGGTGACCATTTGTTTCATCTGTGCCTGTACTGTTCAAGAAGGCAGGGGTTTCCCCTCATCAAACTAAATCTAAGATTCCATTGTTTTCAAGACTCACTGTCAACTTTACTACAATAGAAAAAGTACTGCCAATCAAATTATAACAAAAGGCTTCCCAAACACACTGGGCAATAAAGACAACCAATTACAGAGATTTGTTTTGTTTTGTTTTGTGTTTGTTTTTCAAGACAGGGTTTCTCTGTGTAGCTTTGGAACCTATCCTGGCACTCACTCTGGAGACCAGGCTGGCCTCGAACTCACAGAGATCAGCCTGCCTCTGCCTCCCAAGTGCCGGGATTAATGGTGTGCGCCATCAACACCCGGCTCAATTACAGAGATTTCAAATTTTGAAAGATATATGCATCTTGGAATCTGTGAAGCCTGGATTCTTTTCTTATGAACTGTGAACACAGAATGACAGTATTGTTGTCCAGTGTGTCCAGGGATGAAAACTGACATCTAGATCGCTCTACACTATGCTGAGAGTTGTCACGGATGTCATAACTAACTAGAGGGACAGACTGTGTGTGCTATTTTGCTTAGAGACTTATTTGGTCCAGGGACTGAGGCTCTTCTTCTGGATCCAGCTTGAGAAGTACCAGCGGCCACATGGCTCTGAAAAGATAAGGGAGCCTGGGACTGTCTGTGTGGCGTGGTGTGCTCCTCCTGCCAAAGGCAGTGCAACTTCTTACAGCACTTCACAGTTTCTCTGCCAAAGATTTTGACTACATGGGTGCTTAGGCCTGTTACCTTCCCAAAGTACTAGCATGCAGTGATGGGGGAGGGGAAATTTTGTCTTACACATTTGCCTCTGTATTAGAGCATACCAACAATGCTACTTAGTCAGATCTCAGGTCGGGAACAGAGTCTTAAAGATTATCTGAAACAGTTCCCACCTTCTGCTGATAATGTCTTGAAAAGAGTCAGAGGTAGATAATTGGCTGGCGGTCCCAGTCAGTCTAAAATCTCTCTCTACTTATTCATATTCCTGTCATTCAGGGTCAAAGGTGCTGATGATGAAGTCATTGCATTAAGTGTACTAAATTTAATTATGTGCCTATTTGTACATATTTATTTTACATTTATTGCTGGGAAATTAAAAAAGAATCATCGCTGACAACTTCCTCAATTACCAAATTCAAGGAAGTGGCTGAACACATATTATCTGACCAATTCTCTCAGCGTCCTCAGAAGGAAATGAATTTAAATAGCTGAAGCAAAGTACCCGACACCACACATTAAGTGGTGGACTGGGGAGTGCATCTTACGTGTCATCCCGAAACTTATCCATTGCTTCATTCGTCCCCTTATCTCGAATGAAACGAATTTCAGGGGAAACATTTCAGCTGCTTATCAGACTGCTGCTCCCAGACACCAACAGTTTCCCTGGAACACTCCTGGGCCTTTGGAGCAAGAGGGCAGCGGCTGCTTGGTGGGATCCTGCCTGGTACAACGGGGCTGCATTTGTGTAGAGAAGGAAGGTTAGGCGGGTGTATGTCTTGGTCTCTGTATGGCTGATGTTGGCAGCACATCCTCTGTCTCAGCCACTGAGCTGCCATTTGTATTAAATACACTCTCCTCAAAGAGTGATTTTTAAGAAGAAAACTCTCACTTGACATGTTAGTTTAAGTTGCACGTCTATCCATTTTATTCTTGTTTTTTGTTTTTGTGTCCTAGACTTCACTTTTCAGACCAGGCTGGCCTTGAACACACAGAGATCTACCTGCCTTTGCTTCCCAAGTGCTGGGATTTAAGGCGTGAACTACCACTACCACCCTACTGGATGGATACACTAGAGGCATCAGAGAGGAAGGAGCCTCAACTGAGGAAATGTCTCCATGAGATCCAGCTGTAAAGTATTTTCTCAATTAGTGATCAGTTCGGGAGGGCCCAGCCCATGGTGGGTGGTGCATTACCTGGGCTGGTGATACTGGGTTCTATATTTTGGTTGTGAGCCTAGCCTTTAACGGATGAGCCATCTCTCCAGCCCAGGTCCTGTGTTCTGTAAGAAAGCAAGTCAGTAAGCACCTCCCCTCCATGGCCTCTGCCTCAGCTCCTGCCTCCAGTTCCTGCCCTGTTTGAGCTCCTTTCCTGACTGTCTTCAGTGATGAACAGCAATGCTGAAGTGTAGCCAAATAAACCCTTTCCCAACTTGCTTTTTGTCATGGTTTGTCACAGCAACAGAAACCCTAAGACACTTAGCAAGTTTGATTATCCTGCACTGTTAATATATATTTGTGAATATATAACCCGTTTCCCTCAGAAGTTGTTGACCTTGGCTTCAACAAGGTGAATTATTAATAAGAGCTAGAAAATGCCCCCCCCAGAAACTGTTGACAGCATTAGTGTGGAGCTCTGTTGCTATAGTGTTTTCTCACCCCTCCCTCCAAAAGTTTTAAATACAATTCTAAAACTCAAAAGTTTTCTTCTCATCTTCAAAACCACAAGACTGTAAATTATAGTTATACTTAAAATATAGTCATGAAGATTACATAATTTTAGTGCAAAGACAGATAAACAGGGCATAATACAGATCGAAGATGTTACTGTACAGAAAACTACTGAGACAATTAAATGGAGAAAGTTTTTGAAACCAGTGACATCCAATAATGGGACAAATGTGTGGGAAAATAATAGACTTTGACACCCATCTCATTCAAAAAATTAATAAGAGAAGAATAATAGGCATAAGATAGAAAAGCTAAGACATCAAAGATTCCCAGAGAAAATGTCATGACGTTTAGGTAAGGGAAAACATTCCAGATGTGGAAAACATGAGGTATCAGAAAAAAATTTTAAAATGTTTTATTGTAATGAAAACTCTTCTCAAAGGTAAGTGACAAAGATGCACAGTAAGCCACAAACTGGCAGAAGATGCTCATAAAACATAGATCCATAGGAGAATTTTAACTGGACTAAATAAATAAGCTGTACAAATAAATTAGGAAAAAACCTCACAACCCAATTTACAAAAGGGGGCGACAATCTTGAACTGACAGTTCATGAAAAGCAAGAAAACGAGACCCTGAAAAGGACTTGAAGCTGGGAAAGGGAGGAGTTGGAGAGGGGAAGTGGGAGGCACAAGGATGAAAACAGTGGTGTCCATTATGAAACTTTCAAACAAAAATCACTTTAGACTTTTTATTAGAGAATCTGGAAAGCGGTAGCTTTCAAATGGCAAAACTAGAAATCAACTGAGAGTCCCAAAGGTTGCAATGTAGAATGACACAGACAATGGGAAAGCTATTGACTCTTCCTTCCTTCCTTTCTTTCTTTCTTTCTTTCTTTCTTTCTTTCTTTCTTTCTTTCTTTCTTTCTTTCTTATTTTTGTTTTTTTGAGACTGGGTTTCTCTGTGCAACAGCCTTGGCTGTCCTGGCACTGGCTCTGTAGACCAGGCTGGTCTCGAACTCACAGAGATCCACCTGCCTCTGCCTCCCGAGTGCTGGGATTAAAGGCGTGCGCCACCAAGACTTTGGCACTTTCTTATAGAGTTGAATATGCACTAACGCTAAGACTTAGCAATTCTACGCCTACATAGTGGGATGGGAAGAAAACATACAACCATAAAGACATTTGCTGGAGCAAAATGTTCATGGCTGCTTCATTCCCAATAGTCAAAACCTGGGAACAAACCAAGTTTCCACACAGAGGAGGAGGAGGAATAAGCAAATCGTAGTAACATAAAAATAATACCAGCACTAGCGAGGAATGGGCGAAGCAGCAAGGAAGATGAATCACAAGATCCTGTAAGAGAAAGGCAGTCTTTTCGTGTGGGCGAAAACTCTGTGGTCATGTGACTCTTTAGAGCCAGCAAGGCTAAGCTAGAACAAAAGGAATGTGGGCAGTGAGAACTGACTAGGAAGGACACACGGAAACTCTCTGGGGTGCTAGAAACTGTCTTGACTGGGTATTGGTTATGTGGATTTATACACTTACCCAAATGCATGCAATTGTGTATCTACAATCTATGCATTCTACTAAAACTATACTGTAAAGATACTTAAACGCTGTTGTAATTGCAGTTGTGAAAACGGCTAGCAAATGACGTCTGATGTCAGCAAGGCAGATGCAGAACAGAATTCAAATCAGAGTGCAGCAAAATGCAACTGTGTAGACTTCACAAGGCAGAGAGGAGCTGGAGCGAGTGTTCTTCCTTTCTGTTGGTAAACCTGGGCTCAACTGCTGTAGAAATCTGAGGACCAGTTGACTTAATGGTGTTTTGCAAGGACTAAGGCTATAGAGAAGCAGGTAGAAGAAAGAAAACTGAAACAACCTGAAGTTGATGCGTAACTCAATTTGAAAGGGAGGGCATAGGGATTAAAAAAAAAGAAAAATGTCCCAAGAGTATTTCTTTAAAATGGAATTGTGAAGGGGACAGGGATGGGGGAGACATCCCATGTGGTGCCAGTGGCAGAATTATACAGGACAACTCAAAGCAAGGGGAAGAATGATAGGCTAGACTTTTAGAATTCAGTGATTGGAAGTGCTCTTGCCTGCTGAAGGTCAGTCACAACAGCCTTGTGCCCACTGAAGCACCAGAAGGGGCTCTGGCCAGTGATGTCTGAGCTCTTGGCTTATAGTAAACAGTTGACACAGCACGTGGAGCAATGCTAAACCCAGGAGCTGCACGATGACACTCGGCTGTCCTGGTGAGTTCCCGCTGATATTTGCCTCCTGCCTCCAATGTCCTGAGCAGCATCAGAGGCGGAGAGCACAAGGGAAGAGAAAGAAAGGGAGGATCTGACAGTTCTGAAAGAGACAGGAGAAACACGGAGTGAAATAATGTGCCAAAAGAGCTCTGCCCAGAAGGCCTCGGAGGGTGACCACAGGCTTCAGGTGCGCAGGTAGGACTTATCGGGGAAGCAGAGCTACAAGAATTATGAAGAGTAGGTGAAGAGGTTTACAAGGTCAAACAGGAGGACGCAGCTGGGAAGCTGAGCAGCAGCAGAGCATGAAGGGCTGAACCACAAATGTGCTGGGAGGAAGGAAGGGAGAGCTCTGCGCTGAGATGGCCAGCCCCAGATTTAGCTTTTAGTTGCTGAGGTTAAGTCCAGAGTCAAAGACCCTGGACTGGGCCCCGTGCCAGGAGCAGCCCAGAAGGCATCGCAATGGAACCTGGCCGTGTAACCGACTGTGCATGTTGGTGGACCAGG